GGTTGACACAAGGCTTGTGAGTGAAATTGGGTAAACGGAATTCTTGGGGTCCGTCGATAGGTGTGCTAGCACGAACTGACAAGTCATCGTGACCGAGGATTTGAGTGTGCTGTCCTTTTTCAGACTGGTGATCACGCTAGATAACACGCTCTCTCCTAGAAACTGTAACTAAGGTCTGCTCAATTGCAGTTGCAGTATAAACCACAGGTGGGCGGCTCTGTGGTTGTTGAAAAAACACAAATGTGCCAGAGCGAGCGTCTGCAATAGAGATTGGCTAACAAGCCTAGTAGACGGGTATCCTCGAAATAGCCAGCTATTATATATATATATATATATATATATATATATATATATATATATATATATATAAGACATTTTTTTGTGTTTATACGTTCTTTTATAGATACAAATACTTAAACATAGAACGTATAAACATAAAAAATGTCTTAAAAATAATTGTCGGACTTTGTCCATTTCGTAATATATATATATATATATATATATATATATATATTATATATATATATATATATATATATATATATATATATATATATATATACAATTTTTGAGAGGCCGAATACAGAGCCACAAGACCCCAAACAACCTAAATGAAACCATCTCTTCTACTCAAACAGCTTCTTTTCTCGCACTTCCCATCTATTGAATTCTCCTCCTCTTACTCGATTCCTGGTAACTATAATCTTCAAATATTCAAGTGTAATATCAATCGAAATCTTCTGATACCTTGTTCCCCGTCCTTCTCTTTATCCTCGCTCCAAATACGCCACTTTACTCTTGTTATTTAGCCTCTGTAACGCCTTGCGTGCTAGTGGCACGCCCGTCTTTCTTGGGGTGAAATGCTTTAAAAAAAATATATATATATATATATGTGTGTGTGTGTGTGTGTGTGTGTGTGTGTGTGTTTGTGTGTGTAATCAATCACTTTCTTTTCTTTCTCATTTTGATATGTTAAAATGTTCTATTCGTTGCTGTGATGTTTTAAAAAAGAAATTCAATTTTCTTTCTTTCTCAAAACAGGTAGTAGACTTACTAAACGACCTGTACACTTTATTCGACACAATTATTGGTAATTACGACGTGTACAAAGTGGAGACGATTGGCGATGCGTACATGGTTGTCAGCGGTTTGCCAAAGAAAAACGGTATTTTGCACGCCGGTGAAATTGCTTCTATGTCCCTACATTTGCTGGTCGCCATCAAGAAATTCCGAATTCACCATCGGCCAAAAGACACACTAAAATTGCGGATCGGAGTCCATTCCGGTTCCTGTGTGTCTGGCGTGGTGGGTCAAAAAATGCCCAGATACTGTTTATTTGGCGACACCGTGAATACAGCTTCGCGAATGGAGTCGACCGGTCAGCGTGAGTATATAAGATTTTATTATTCAAGATGCCCTTTTGCAATATGAAATTAGTAATTAGCGTAGGTATGTTCATGAGATCCATAAAAAATAGCATAGCATGAATAAAAAAAGGCCTTAAACTTGATGAAAATATTTTTTATCGTTTAAATGTTTATGTTATTATCAAGAAGAAAGATCAAAGTATTTTTTTGGTTATTTTTTTACATTTTTTGATAATTTCTAGCACGTCCAAAATTTTTGTTTCAAATTTTGTATTTTTTGATCAGCAAAATTGACAGAAAATCGATCGTCAGCCATTTTTTAACTTTTGTTTACAAAAGTGAAAGTTTCCGTTAAAATTTTATTATAAGATCAATTATGATTTTTTTTTAAATTAATTTAAGAAAATTAGAAATTATAAAGTTTATTTAATATATTTTCCATCATTCATCAATAGTTTCTGAAAGTTTCATTAAAATCTGACAATTATTTCTATTTTTGCAAGATTTTCAAAATTAATGTCTGTCATAAAAAAAATTCACAAAAATTCGCCATGTTATTTACTAGGAGTTCTGGTGAAGAAGAGAAACAAGGTTTTTTAATCAAAAGTTAGAATGTTCTAATAAAGACAGAAATTTTTTTTTAAATAATTAAAAATTACTTTCCTCTTAATAGTAACATAAACATTTTGACGATAAAATTAAAATCAAGTTTAAGGTCACTTTCGCCTAAATTCCCTTGGAAAAGTTATAAATATATGAATAATACTCTACTAGCAACTAATAAAAATTCACTGAATATTTTTTGTTAATCTTGGTCTTGCCTTATCGGATTTATATCCGAAGAAAATGTTATTTCATCTGAAGAACTATTTGAATATTAATGCCCCTTCTCGAAACTATAGAAAATACCAGAATATTCGTGGATATTTACGGGGAGATATATATCTTACCTATCAATGTGACCCAATGTTATATAGGAATAAAGTCTCACTGCCGACACTTGAGTTTGAACAGATTAAAAGCATATATATATATATATATATATGGTTGGCCCTGCCCTGGCGTCTCGTCTACAGTCACTTTCTCACAGACGCGCCGTCGCCTCCCTCTGTCTGTTCTACAAATACTTTCATGGAAATTGCTCCGAGGAGCTGCATTCGCTGGTTCCCAGACGTCATGAGTTCCAGCGCCCTACGAGGCTGGCATCCCGCTCTCACCCCTTCACTGTCGAAACTCCTAAATGTAGCCGTCTCTTCTACTCTAATAGCTTCATGTCTCGCACCTCTCGCCTGTGGAACTCTCTTCCCTTCTCCTGTTTCCCTGAGAGCTATAATCTCCAGCTATTCAAGTGTAATGTCAATCGACATCTCCAGTTGCCTTAATCTATCTACTACCCTCATCCTTTCTTCTATCACTCCTATCTGATCTTGCTATTTTCTGTAACCCCTTTATGTCCTAGTGGCTTCCCGCCTTGCTTGGGGGTGAAATGCTTAATATATATATATATATATATATATATATATATATATATATATATATATATATATACTAGCAACTAATAGAAATTCAGCGAATATTTTTTGTTGTTCTTGGTCTTCGCTTATCTGATTTATATTCCAAGAAAATGTTATTTTATCTGAAGAATTATTTGAATGTTAATGACTCTTCTTAAAATTAGAAAATACCCAAATATTCGTTGTTTTATTTTCATTGGACGCAGATGATTCCTAATACACGGTTTTTTGTAATTCTCTACTCTAAATATTTGTTTTTGATCTATGCTTGATAATAATTAAGTTTTTACACTGCTAATAACTAGTGATCATTGGTGATCAAGTGACAGCAAGTCATTTTTATACAGGTCCTTTGCCTTATCTTCTTTTAATATTTTTGGGGTGTAGCATATGTTGCAATACTTTTATAATATCTCAAATCCTATATTACCCACCAGAATTTTCAATCGCCCACCATTTCTCTTCAGTTGCTCATCGCCCACCCAACAGATGAAATCGCCCACTGGTTGATGATATCACCGAGGTTGGAAAATCCTCGTTTACAAGATAAAATCAAATCATACCAGACAAATTGAAGAGTCACTTTAAATGAAGAATTTTCATTGGACGCAGATGATTCCTAATACACGGTTTTTTGTAATTCTCTAGTGTATTTTTTTGTTTTGATCTATGCTTGATACTAATTACGTTTTTACACTGCTAATAACTAGTGATCATTGGTGATTTGAGAAAGCCCTGGTATCTATGTTTGTTTGTGGGTGATCAATAACTGATCGATAAACCATTCCAAAATAGAAAAGACTAGCTCATTTACTAATTGTTTTTTTTTCTGTTTTTTTTTTTTTTTTTTTTTGTTTTTTTTTCTTTCAGCTTTAAAAATTCACTGCTCTCAACAATGCAAGGAACTTCTGGATCAGCTTGGTGGTTATGAAATCGAAAAACGCGGCATTGTACACCTCAAGGTAAGCATTTCAATGATGCTTCGTTATTTCTCTCAACAGAGCATGCCGATAGCATCTCGTTATAAATGAGTTCAAGAAAAATCCAGAGACGGATATGCAATGTTATAGGTCCCTATCTAGCATCTAGTCTACAGTCGCTTTCTCACGAGCCATGGCTTCCCACCTTTCTCTCTCTCTCTCTCTCTTCTATAAGTATTTTCATGGCAACTGTTCCGACGAATTTCTTTCTCTGGTTCCCAGATTTCATGAATTTAAGCGAGCTACTAGGTTGGCATCTCGATCCAATATCTTTTTTCGCTGTCGAAACGTTTAAATGTAACCGTCTCTTCTACTCAAGCAGTTAGCACGAATTGACAAGTCATTGTGACCGAAGGTTTGAGTGTGCTGTCCTTGTTCAGACTAATGATCCCTCTAGATAACACGCTCTCTCCCAGAAACTGTAACTAATGTCTGCTCAGTTGCAATTGCAGTATAAACCACAGGTGGGCTCTGTGGTCGTTGAACAAACACAAACGTGCCTGAGCAAGCGTCTGCAGTAGGGATTGGCTAACCACCCGAGTAAATGGGTATCCTCGAATACGAGTGGCCAGCTATTACATATACATGCGTGTGTGTATTTCAGCAGCATTTTTCATTGATGCACGTTTCATTAAATAATATAGACAAGTGTTGTCTATTTGTTTTATTTTAGTTCTTTTCATATCGTTAGAAGATCCCCAAACAATTGACCTAAAGTCCGTGACCAAAATCGATGTCTTACACACAGCAATCTCTGTGTTTACCTGTTCTATTTCTTTATTTTCTGTAACTTCACCAGCTATATTTTTTATATTCGAATACCTGTCCTTAACGCAAACATGGGAGTTCTCTTCTTTTCTACATCATCATCATCATTTCTTTCAATTTTTTTAACGTTAATTCTCCCCGCACGAAATTCCTCTTCAATTTTTTTTTCTATATTTTGTCTCCACCATATTCGCATTTTTCTCCCATTCTCCATATTTTTGTAAAACCGGTGTTGTAGTATTACCCTCGTATTATTTTTACCCGGTCTCACATTCGGAGCAACCTGTTCATCTCTGATTTGAAACATTTTAGTTCCCAATATTACAAGATCCCCAAACAACTGACCTGACAAGTCCGTGACCAAAAATGCGATGTCTTCCTACACAGCAATCTCTGTGTTTACCTGTTCTATTTCTTTATTTTCTGTAACTTCACCAGCTCCTTCTTTATATTCATACCTGTCCTTAACATCATGCGTGGGAGTTTCTTCTTTTGGCACATCATCATCATTGTTCCCTTTCAATTTTTTTAACGTTAATTCCCACGAAATTCTCTTCAATTTTTTTTCTATATTTTGTCTCCACCATATTCGCATTTTCTCTCCATTCTCCATATTTTTTGTAAAACCGGTCTTGTAGTCAACCCTCGTATTATTTTTACCTGGTCTTCCCATCTCGAGCAACCAGTTCATCTTCTGATTTGAAACTATTTTAGTTCAAAATATTACAAGATCCCCAAACAACTAAACCTGAGCAAGTCCGTGACCAAAAATGCGATGTCTTCATACACAGCAATCTCTGTGTTTACCTGTTCATTTCTTTATTTTCTGTAACTTCACCAGCTCCTTCTTTATATTCATACCTGTCCTTAACGCATGCGTGGGAGTTCTCTTCTTTTGGCACATCATCATCATTGTTCCCTTTCAAACTTTTAACGTTAATTCCCGCACGAAATTCTCTTCAATTTTTTTTCTATATTTTGTCTCCACCATATTCGATTTTTTCTCTCCATTCTCCTTTTTTGTAAAACCGGTGTTGTAGTATTACCCTCGTATTATTTTTTCCCCGGTCTCCATTCGAGCAACCAGTTCATCTCTGATTTGAAACATTTTAGTTCCCAATATTACAAGATCCCCAAACAACTGACCTGAACAAGTCCGTGACCAAAAATGCGATGTCTTCCACACAGCAATCTCTGTGTTTACCTGTTCTATTTCTTTATTTTCTGTAACTTCACCAGCTCCTTCTTTATATTCATACCTGTCCTTAACGCATGCGTGGGAGTTCTCTTCTTTTGGCACATCATCATCATTGTTCCTTTCAATTTCTTTAACGTTACAGAGCACGAAATTCCTCTTCAATCTCTGTGTTTTTTTTTTCTATATTTTGTCTCCACCATATTCGCATTTTCTCTCCATTCTCCATATTTTTTTGTAAAACCGGTGTTGTAGTATTCTCCTCGTATTATTTTTACCCGGTCTCACATTGAGCAACCTGTTCATCTCTGAAAAACATTTTAGTTCCCCAATATTACAAGATCCCCAAACAACTGACCTGAGCAAGTCTTCTGACCAAAAACGATGTCTTCTACACAGCAATCTCTGTGTTTACCTGTTCTATTTCTTTATTTTCTGTAACTTCAAGCTCCTTCTTTATATTCATACCTGTCCTTAACGCATGCGTGGGAGTTCTCTTCTTTTGGCAAATCATCATCATTGTTCCTTTCAATTTCTTTAACGTTAATTTCCGCACGAAATTCCTCTTCATTTTTTTTTTCTATATTTTGTCTCCACCATATTCGCATTTTCTCTCCATTCTCCATATTTTTGTAAAACCGGTGTTGTAGTATTACCTCGTATTATTTTTACCCGGTCAACATTCAGAGCAACCAGTTCATCTCTGATTTGAAACATTTTAGTTCCCAATTGACCTGAGCAAGTCCGTGACCAAAATGCGATGTCTTCCTCAATCTCTGTGTTTACCTGTTCTATTTCTTTATTTTCTCTCTTCATTCTTCTTTATATTCATACCTGTCCTTAACGCATGCGTGGGAGTTCTCTTCAATCATCATCATTGTTCCCTTTCAATTTCTTTAACGTTAATTCCGCACGAAATTCCTCTTCAATTTTTTTTCTATATTTTGTCTCCACCATATTCGCTTTTTCTCCATTCTCCATATTTTTGTAAAACCTGGTGAATAGTATTACCCTCGTATCCGGTCTTATTCTTTCCTGTTCATCTCTGATTTGAAACATTTTAGTTCCCAATATTACAAGATCCCCAAAACAACTGACCTGAGCAAGTCCGTGACCAAAAATGCGATGTCTTCTACACAGCAATCTCTGTGTTTACCTGTTCTATTTCTTTATTTTCTGTAACTTCACCAGCTCCTTCTTTATATTCATACCTGTCCTTAACGCATGCGTGGGAGTTCTCTTCTTTTGGCACATCATCATCATTGTTCCTTTCAATTTCTTTTTAACGTTAATTCCTGCACGAAATTCCTCTTCAATTTTTTTTTCTATATTTTGTCTCCACCATATTCGCATTTTCTCTCCATTCTCCATATTTTTTGTAAAACCGGTGTTGTAGTATTACCCTCGTATTATTTTTACCCGGTCTTACATTCGAGCAACCTGTTCATCTCTGATTTGAAACATTTTAGTTCCCAATATTACAAGATCCCCAAACAACTGACCTGAGCAAGTCCGTGACCAAAAAATGCGATGTCTTCTACACAGCAATCTCTGTGTTTACCTGTTCTATTTCTTTATTTTCTGTAACTTCACCAGCTCCTTCTTTATATTCATACCTGTCCTTAACGCATGCGTGGGAGTTCTCTTCTTTTGGCACATCATCATCATTGTTCCTTTCAATTTCTTTTAACGTTAATTCTGCACGAAATTCCTCTTCAATCAATTTTTTTTTTTCTATATTTTGTCTCCACCATATTCGCATTTTCTCTCCATTCTCCATATTTTTGTAAAACCGGTGTTGTAGTATTACCCTCGTATTATTTTTACCCGGTCTCACATTCGGAGCAACCTGTTCATCTCTGATTTGAAACATTTTAGTTCCCAATATTACAAGATCCCCAAACAACTGACCTGAGCAAGTCCGTGACCAAAAATGCGATGTCTTCCTACACAGCAATCTCTGTGTTTACCTGTTCTATTTCTTTATTTTCTGTAACTTCACCAGCTCCTTCTTTATATTCATACCTGTCCTTAACGCATGCGTGGGAGTTCTCTTCTTTTGGCACATCATCATCATTGTTCCCTTTCAATTTCTTTAACGTTAATTCCCGCACGAAATTCCTCTTCAATTTTTTTTCTATATTTTGTCTCCACCATATTCGCATTTTCTCTCCATTCTCCATATTTTTGTAAAACCGGTGTTGTAGTATTACCCTCGTATTATTTTTTTCCGGTCTCACATTCTGAGCAACCAGTTCATCTCTGATTTGAAACATTTTAGTTCCCAATATTACAAGATCCCCAAACAACTCCTGAGCAAGTCCGTGACCAAAAATGCGATGTCTTCCTACACAGCAATCTCTGTGTTTACCTGTTCTATTTCTTTATTTTCTGTAACTTCACCAGCTCCTTCTTTATATTCATACCTGTCCTTAACGCATGCGTGGAGTTCTCTTCTTTTGGCACATCATCATCATTGTTCCTTTCAATTTTCTTTAACGTTAATTCCTGCAAGAAATTCCTCTTCAATCATCATCATTTTTTTTTTCTATATTTTGTCTCCACCATATTCGCATTTTCTCTCCATTCTCCATATTTTTGTAAAACCGGTGTTGTAGTATTACCCTCGTATTATTTTTACCCGGTCTTACATTCGGAGCAACCTGTTCATCTCTGATTTGAAACATTTTAGTTCCCAATATTACAAGATCCCCAAACAACTGACCTGAGCAAGTCCGTGACCAAAAATGCGATGTCTTCATACACAGCAATCTCTGTGTTTACCTGTTCTATTTCTTTATTTTCTGTAACTTCACCAGCTCCTTCTTTATATTCATACCTGTCCTTAACGCATGCGTGGGAGTTCTCTTCTTTTGGCACATCATCATCATTGTTCCCTTTCAATTTCTTTAACGTTAATTCCCGCACGAAATTCCTCTTCAATTTTTTTTCTATATTTTGTCTCCACCATATTCGCATTTTCTCTCCATTCTCCATATTTTTGTAAAACCGGTGTTGTAGTATTACCCTCGTATTATTTTTACCCGGTCTCACATTCGGAGCAACCTGTTCATCTCTGATTTGAAACATTTTAGTTCCCAATATTACAAGATCCCCAAACAACTGACCTGAGCAAGTCCGTGACCAAAAATGCGATGTCTTCATACACAGCAATCTCTGTGTTTACCTGTTCTATTTCTTTATTTTGTGTAACTTCACCAGCTCCTTCTTTATATTCATACCTGTCCTTAACGCATGCGTGGGAGTTCTCTTCTTTTGGCACATCATCATCATTGTTCCCTTTCAATTTCTTTAACGTTAATTCCCGCACGAAATTCCTCTTCATTTTTTTTTTTTCTATATTTTGTCTCCACCATATTCGCATTTTCTCTCCATTCTCCATATTTTTGTAAAACCGGTGTTGTAGTATTACCCTCGTATTATTTTTACCCGGTCTCACATTCAGAACAACCTGTTCATCTCTGATTTGAAACATTTTAGTTCCCAATATTACAAGATCCCCAAACAACTGACCTGAGCAAGTCCGTGACCAAAAAATGCGATGTCTTCTACACAGCAATCTCTGTGTTTACCTGTTCTATTTCTTTATTTTCTGTAACTTCACCAGCTCCTTCTTTATATTCATACCTGTCCTTAACGCATGCATGGGAGTTCTCTTCTTTGGCACATCATCATCATTGTTCCCTTTCAATTTCTTTAACGTTCATCATCATTGAAATTCCCTTCATTTTTTTTTCAATTTTTTCATATTCGCATTTTTCTCCATTCTAATTTTTGTAAAACCGGTGTTGTAGTATTACCCTCGTATTATTTTTACCCGGTCTCACATTCGAAACCTGTTCATCTCTGATTTCATTTTTTTTTCCCCAAACAACTGATGAGCAATTTTGTCTTCACCATATTCTGTGTTTTCTGTTCTATTTCCATTTTCTAACTTCACCAGCTCCTTCTTTATATTTTGTAAAACCATGCAAGTTCTCTTCTTTTGCACATCATCATCCTTCCCTTTTCAATTTCTTTTTAATTCCCGTCCTCTTTTTTTTTTTTCTATATTTTTCTCCACCAACCATTTTCTTCATCTCTGATTTTTGTAAAACCATTTTAGTATTTCCTCATTATTTTTATTATTCAAAAGATCTCTGATTTGAAACATTTTAGTTCCCAATATTACAAGATCCCCAAACAACTGACCTGAGCAAGTCCGTGACCAAAAATGCGATGTCTTCATACACAGCAATCTCTGTGTTTACCTGTTCTATTTCTTTATTTTCTGTAACTTCACCAGCTCCTTCTTTATATTCATACCTGTCCTTAACGCATGCGTGGGAGTTCTCTTCTTTTGGCACATCATCATCATTGTTCCCTTTCAATTTCTTTAACGTTAATTCCCGCACGAAATTCCTCTTCAATTTTTTTTCTATATTTTGTCTCCACCATATTCGCATTTTCTCTCCATTCTCCATATTTTTGTAAAACCGGTGTTGTAGTATTACCCTCGTATTATTTTTACCCGGTCTTACATTCGGAGCAACCTGTTCATCTCTGATTTGAAACATTTTAGTTCCCAATATTACAAGATCCCCAAACAACTGACCTGAGCAAGTCCGTGACCAAAAATGCGATGTCTTCATACACAGCAATCTCTGTGTTTACCTGTTCTATTTCTTTATTTTCTGTAACTTCACCAGCTCCTTCTTTATATTCATACCTGTCCTTAACGCATGCGTGGGAGTTTCTTCTTTTGGCACATCATCATCATTGTTCCCTTTCAATTTCTTTAACGTTAATTCCCGCACGAAATTCCTCTTCAATTTTTTTTTTCTATATTTTGTCTCCACCATATTCGCATTTTCTCTCCATTCTCCATATTTTTGTAAAACCGGTGTTGTAGTATTACCCTCGTATTATTTTTACCCGGTCTTACATTCGAGCAACCTGTTCATCTCTGATTTGAAACATTTTAGTTCCCAATATTACAAGATCCCCAAACAACTGACCTGAGCAAGTCCGTGACCAAAAATGCGATGTCTTCAACACAGCAATCTCTGTGTTTACCTGTTCTATTTCTTTATTTTCTGTAACTTCACCAGCTCCTTCTTTATATTCATACCTGTCCTTAACGCATGCGTGGGAGTTCTCTTCTTTTGGCACATCATCATCATTGTTCCCTTTCAATTTCTTTAACGTTAATTCCCGCACGAAATTCCTCTTCAATTTTTTTTCTATATTTTGTCTCCACCATATTCGCATTTTCTCTCCATTCTCCATATTTTTGTAAAACCGGTGTTGTAGTATTACCCTCGTATTATTTTTACCCGGTCTCACATTCGGAGCAACCAGTTCATCTCTGATTTGAAACATTTTAGTTCCCAATATTACAAGATCCCCAAACAACTGACCTGAGCAAGTCCGTGACCAAAAATGCGATGTCTTCATACACAGCAATCTCTGTGTTTACCTGTTCTATTTCTTTATTTTCTGTAACTTCACCAGCTCCTTCTTTATATTCATACCTGTCCTTAACGCATGCGTGGGAGTTCTCTTCTTTTGGCACATCATCATCATTGTTCCCTTTCAATTTCTTTAACGTTAATTCCCGCACGAAATTCCTCTTCAATTTTTTTTCTATATTTTGTCTCCACCATATTCGCATTTTCTCTCCATTCTCCATTTTTGTAAAACCGGTGTTGTAGTATTACCTCGTATTATTTTTACCCGGTCTCACATTCGAGCAACCTGTTCATCTCTGATTTGAAACATTTTAGTTCCCAATATTACAAGATCCCCAAACAACTGACCTGAGCAAGTCCGTGACCAAAAAATGCGATGTCTTCCTACACAGCAATCTGTGTTTACCTGTTCTATTTCTTTATTTTCTGTAACTTCACCAGCTCCTTCTTTATATTCATACCTGTCCTTAACGCATGCGTGGGAGTTCTCTTCCCCAAACATCATCATCATTGTTCCCTTTCAATTTCTTTAACGTTAATTCCCGCACGAAATTCCTCTTCAATTTTTTTTCTATATTTTGTCTCCACCATATTCGCATTTTCTCTCCATTCTCCATATTTTTGTAAAACCGGTGTTGTAGTATTACCCTCGTATTATTTTTACCCGGTCTTACATTCGAGCAACCTGTTCATCTCTGATTTGAAACATTTTAGTTCCCAATATTACAAGATCCCCAAACAACTGACCTGAGCAAGTCCGTGACCAAAAATGCGATGTCTTCCTACACAGCAATCTCTGTGTTTACCTGTTCTATTTCTTTATTTTCTGTAACTTCACCAGCTCCTTCTTTATATTCATACCTGTCCTTAACGCATGCGTGGGAGTTCTCTTCTTTTGGCACATCATCATCATTGTTCCCTTTCAATTTAGTATTTTAACGTTAATTCCCGCACGAAATTCCTCTTCTTTTTTTTTTCTATATTTTGTCTCCACCATATTCGCATTTTCTCTCCATTCTCCATATTTTTGTAAAACCGGTGTTGTAGTATTACCCTCGTATTCCCTTTTTTTTTTACCCGGTCTCACATTCAGAGCAACAAGTTCATCTCTGATTTGAAACATTTTAGTTCCCAATATTACAAGATCCCCAAACAACTGACCTGAGCAAGTCCGTGACCAAAAAATGCGATGTCTTTCTACACAGCAATCTCTGTGTTTACCTGTTCTATTTCTTTATTTTCTGTAACTTCACCAGCTCCTTCTTTATATTCATACCTGTCCTTAACGCATGCGTGGGAGTTCTCTTCTTTTGGCACATCATCATCATTGTTCCTTTCAATTTCTTTTTTAACGTTAATTCCCCACGAAATTCCTCTTCAATTTTTTTTTTTTCTATATTTTGTCTCCACCATATTCGCATTTTCTCTCCATTCTCCATATTTTTGTAAAACCGGTGTTGTAGTATTACCCTCGTATTATTTTTACCCGGTCTTCACATTCGAGCAACCTGTTCATCTCTGATTTGAAACATTTTAGTTCCCAATATTACAAGATCCCCAAACAACTGACCTGAGCAAGTCCGTGACCAAAAAATGCGATGTCTTCATACACAGCAATCTCTGTGTTTACCTGTTCTATTTCTTTATTTTCTGTAACTTCACCAGCTCCTTCTTTATATTCATACCTGTCCTTAACGCATGCGTGGGAGTTCTCTTCTTTTGGCACATCATCATCATTGTTCCTTTCAATTTTTTTTTAACGTTAATTCCCGCACGAAATTCCTCTTCAATTTTTTTTCTATATTTTGTCTCCACCATATCTGCATTTTTCTCCATTCTCCATATTTTTGTAAAACCGGTGTTGTAGTATTACCCTCGTATTATTTTTACCCGGTCTCACATTCGGAGCAACCTGTTCATCTCTGATTTGAAACATTTTAGTTCCCAATATTACAAGATCCCCAAACAACTGACCTGAGCAAGTCCGTGAAAAAATGCGATGTCTTCATACACAGCAATCTCTGTGTTTACCTGTTCTATTTCTTTATTTTCTGTAACTTCACCAGCTCCTTCTTTATATTCATACCTGTCCTTAACGCATGCGTGGGAGTTCTCTTCAAACATCATCATCATTGTCCCTTTCAAATTTCTTTAACGTTAATTCCCGCACGAAATTCCTCTTCAATTTTTTTTTTCTATATTTTGTCTCCACCATATTCCACCGGTGTTGTAATTACCCTGTATTTTTTTCTCCATTCTCCATATTTTTTGTAAAACCGGTGTTGTAGTATTACCCTCGTATTATTTTTTACCCGGTCTTATTCATTCAGAGCAACCTGTTCATCTCTGATTTGAAACATTTTAGTTCTTTAATATTACAAGATCCCCAAACAACTGACCTGAGCAAGTCCGTGACCAAAAATTCGATGTCTTCCTACACAGCAATCTCTGTGTTTACCTGTTCTATTTCTTTAGTTCTTTTTCTGTCATCATCATTGTCACTTTCAATTTCACGTTAATTCCCCACGAAAGCTTTTTTTTTTATATTTTTATATTCATCTCTCCATTCTAATTTTTTTGTAAAAATGCGTGTTGGAGTATTACCCTCTTCTTTTCAAACATCATCATCATTTGAAACATTTCCCTTTCAATTTCCCAAACGTTAATTCCGTGACCAATGAAATTCTCTTCTCTGATGTTTTGTTTTTTCTATATTTTGTCCAGCCACCATATTCGCATTTTCTCTCCATTCTCTCATCTTTTTTTATCAAAACCGGTGTTGTAGTATTATTCCCATCTGTCGATTTTTTCCTCATCTTTTCATTTCATTCATCTCTGATTTGAAACATTTTAGTTCCCCCAATTACATATTTTGTAAAAAGATCCCCAAACAACTGACCTGAAACAAGTCCGTGACCGTGACCAAAAATGCGATGTCTTCCTACACAGCAATCTCTGTGTTTACCTGTTCTATTTCTTTATTTTCTGTAACTTCACCAGCTCCTTCTTTATATTCATACCTGTCCTTAACGCATGCGTGGGAGTTCTCTTCTTTTGGAACATCATCATCATTGTCACCTTCAATTTCTTTAACGTTAATTCCCGCACGAAATTCCTCTTCAATTTTTTTTCTATATTTTGTCTCCACCATATTCGCATTTTTCTCCATTCTCCATATTTTTGTAAAACCGGTGTTGTAGTATTACCCTCGTATTATTTTTACCCGGTCTTACATTCGAGACAACCTGTTCATCTCTGATTTGAAACATTTTAGTTCCCAATATTACAAGATCCCCAAACAACTGACCTGAGACAAGTCCGTGACCAAAAATGCGATGTCTTCCTACACAGCAATCTCTGTGTTTACCTGTTCTATTTCTTTATTTTCTGTAACTTCACCAGCTCCTTCTTTATATTCATACCTGTCCTTAACGCATGCGTGGGAGTTCTCTTCTTTTGGCACATCATCATCATTGTTCCCTTTCAATTTTCTTTTTTTAACGTTAATTCCTTCAATTTTTTTTTCATATTTTGTCTCGAAATTCCTCTTCAATTTTTTTTTTTCTTTTTTTGATTTCTCCACCATATTCGCATTTTTTCTCTCCATTCTCCACCAGCTCCTTTTTGTAAAACCGGTGTTGTCATATTACCTCAATTTATTATTTTTCCGGTCTTACATTCGGAGCAACCTGTTCATCTCTGATTTGAAACATTTTAGTTCCCAATATTACAAGATCCTTCAAACAACTGAGCCTGACCAAGTCCGTGACCAAAAAATGCGATGTCTTCATACACAGCAATCTCTGTGTTTACCTGTTCTATTTCTTTATTTTCTGTAACTTCACCAGCTCCTTCTTTATATTCATACCTGTCCTTAACGCATGCGTGGGAGTTCTCTTCTTTTGGCACATCATCATCATTGTTCCTTTCAATTTCTTTAACGTTAATTCCCGCACGAAATTCCTCTTCAATTTTTTTTTTTCTATATTTTGTCTCCACCATATTCGCATTTTCTCTCCATTCTCCATATTTTTGTAAAACCGGTGTTGTAGTATTACCCTCGTATTATTTTTACCCGGTCTTACATTCGAGCAACCTGTTCATCTCTCAAAAACATTTTAGTTCCCAATATTACAAGATCCCCAAACAACTGACCTGAGCAAGTCCGTGACCAAAAATGCGATGTCTTCTACACAGCAATCTGTGTTTACCTGTTCTATTTCTTTATTTCCTGTAACTTCACCAGCTCCTTCTTTATATTCATACCTGTCCTTAACGCATGCGTGGGAGTTCTCTTCTTTTGGCACATCATCATCATTGTTCCCTTTCAATTTCTTTAACGTTAATTCCGCACGAAATTCCTCTTCAATTTTTTTTTCTATATTTTGTCTCCACCATATTCGCATTTTCTCTCCATTCTCCATATTTTTTGTAAAAACCGGTGTTGTAGTATTACCCTCGTATTATTTTTACCCGGTCTCACATTCGAGCAACCTGTTCATCTCTGATTTGAAACATTTTAGTTCCCAATATTACAAGATCCCCAAACAACTGACCTGAGCAAGTCCGTGACCAAAAATGCGATGTCTTCTACACACAATCTCTGTGTTTACCTGTTCTATTTCTTTATTTTCTGTAACTTCACCAGCTCCTTCTTTATATTCATACCTGTCCTTAACGCATGCGTGGGAGTTCTCTTCTTTTGGAACATCATCATCATTGTTTCCTTTCAATTTCTTTAACGTTAAAACACGAAATTCCTCTTCAATTTTTTTTTTTCTATATTTTGTCTCCACCATATTCGCATTTTCTCTCCATTCTCCATATTTTTGTAAAACCGGTGTTGTAGTATTACCCTCGTATTATTTTTACCCGGTCTCACATTCGAGCAACCTGTTCATCTCTGATTTGAAACATTTTAGTTCCCAATATTACAAGATCCCCAAACAACTGACCTGAGCAAGTCCGTGACCAAAATGCGATGTCTTCCTACACAACAATCTCTGTGTTTTACCTGTTCTATTTCTTTATTTTCTGTAACTTCACCAGCTCCTTCTTTATATTCATACCTGTCCTTAACGCATGCGTGGGAGTTCTCTTCTTTTGGCACATCATCATCATTGTTCCCTTTCAATTTCTTTAACGTTAATTCCGCACGAAATTCCTCTTCAATTTTTTTTTTCTATATTTTGTCTCCACCATATTCGCATTTTCTCTCCATTCTCCATATTTTTGTAAAACCGGTGTTTGTAGTATTACCCTCGTATTATTTTTACCCGGTCTTTCCTGAGCAACCTGTTCATCTCTGATTTGAAACATTTTAGTTCCCAATATTACAAGATCCCCAAACAACTGACCTGAGCAAGTCCGTGACCAAAAATGCGATGTCTTCATACACAGCAATCTCTGTGTTTACCTGTTCTATTTCTTTATTTTCTGTAACTTCACCAGCTCCTTCTTTATATTCATACCTGTCCTTAACGCATGCGTGGGAGTTCTCTTCTTTTGGAACATCATCATCATTGTCACCTTCAATTTCTTTAACGTTAATTCCCGCACGAAATTCCTCTTCAATTTTTTTTCTATATTTTGTCTCCACCATATTCGCATTTTCTCTCCATTCTCCATATTTTTGTAAAACCGGTGTTGTAGTATTACCCTCGTATTATTTTTACCCGGTCTTACATTGAGACAACCTGTTCATCTCTGATTTGAAACATTTTAGTTCCCAATATTACAAGATCCCCAAACAACTGACCTGAGCAAGTCCGTGACCAAAAATGCGATGTCTTCCTACACAGCAATCTCTGTGTTTACCTGTTCTATTTCTTTATTTTGTGTAACTTCACCAGCTCCTTCTTTATATTCATACCTGTCCTTAACGCATGCGTGGGAGTTCTCTTCTTTTGGCACATCATCATCATTGTCACCTTCAATTTCTTTAACGTTAATTCCCGCACGAAATTCCTCTTCAATTTTTTTTCTATATTTTGTCTCCACCATATTCGCATTTTCTCTCCATTCTCCATATTTTTGTAAAACCGGTGTTGTAGTATTACCCTCGTATTATTTTTACCCGGTCTTCACATTCAGAGCAACCAGTTCATCTCTGATTTGAAACATTTTAGTTCCCAATATTACAAGATCCCCAAACAACTGACCTGAGCAAGTCCGTGACCAAAAAATGCGATGTCTTCATACACAATCTCTGTGTTTACCTGTTCTATTTCTTTATTTTCTGTAACTTCACCAGCTCCTTCTTTATATTCATACCTGTCCTTAACGCATGCGTGGGAGTTCTCTTCTTTTGGCACATCATCATCATCATTGTTCCTTTCAATTTCTTTAACGTTAATTACACGAAATTCCTCTTCAATTTTTTTTTCTATATTTTGTCTCCACCAAATTTTCTCTCCATTCTCCATATTTTTGTAAAACCGGTGTTTTTTACCTCGTATTATTTTTTCTACATTCGAGCAACCAGTTCATCTCTGATTTGAAACATTTTAGTTCCCCATATCTCAAGATCCCCAAACAACTGACCTGAGCAAGTCCGTGACCAAAAATGCGATGTCTTCCTACACACAGCAATCTCTGTGTTTACCTGTTCTATTTCTTTATTTTTGTAATCACCAGCTCCTTCTTTATATTCATCCTGTCCAACGCATCCTAAATTCAGTTCTCTTCTTTTGGCACATCATCATCATTGTTCCCTTTCAATTTCTTTAACGTTAATTCCCGCACGAAATTCTTCTTCAATTTTTTTTCTATATTTTGTCTCCACCATATTCGCATTTTCTCTCCATTCTCCATATTTTTGTAAAACCGGTTCCTGATACATTCGAGCAACCTGTTTATCTCTGATTTTCAAACAACTGACCAGCAAGTCCGTCAAAAAACGATGTCTTATACACAGCAATCTCTGTGTTTCTGTTCTATTTCTTTATTTTCTGTAACTTCAGCTCCTTCTTTATATTCATACCTGTCCTTAACGCATGCGTGGGAGTTTCTTCCCATCATCATCATTCATTTCCTTTCAATTTCTTTTTTTAACGTTAATTCCCCTGAAATTCCTCTTCAATTTTTTTTTCTATATTTTGTCTCCACCATATTCGCATTTTCTCCATTCTCCATATTTTTGTAAAACCGGTGTTGTAGTATATCTCCCTCGTATTATTTTTACCCGGTCTTACATTCGAGCAACCTGTTCATCTCTGATTTGAAACATTTTAGTTCAAATTACAAGATCCCCAAACAACTGACCTGAACAGTCCAAAAATGATGTCTTCATACAAAAATCTCTCTGTGTTTACCTGTTCTATTTCTTTATTTTTGTAACTTCACCAGCTCCTTCTTTATATTCATCTGTCCTTAACGCATGCGTGGGAGTTCTCTTCTTTTCATCATCATTGTTCCCTTTCAATTTCTTTAACGTTAATTCCCGCACGAAATTCCTCTTCAATTTTTTTTTATATTTTGTCTCCACCATATTCGCATTTTCTCTCCATTCTCTATATTTTGTTTATTACCCTGGTCTTACATTCTGGAGCAACCTGTTCATCTCTGATTTGAAACATTTTAGTTCCCAATATTACAAGATCCCCAAACAACTGACCTGAGCAAGTCCGTGACCAAAAATGCGATGTCTTCCTACACAGCAATCTCTGTGTTTACCTGTTCTATTTCTTTATTTTCTGTAACTTCACCAGCTCCTTCTTTATATTCATCTGTCCTTAACGCATGCGTGGGAGTTCTCTTCTTTTGGCACATCATCATCATTGTTCCCTTTCAATTTCTTTAACGTTAATTCCCGCACGAAATTCCTCTTCAATTTTTTTTCTATATTTTGTCTCCACCATATTCGCATTTTCTCTCCATTCTCCATATTTTTTAAAACTGGTAAGGTGTTGTAGTATTACCTCGTATTATTTTTACCTGGTCTCACATTCGAGCAACCTGTTCATCTCTGATTTGAAACATTTTAGTTCCCAATATTACAAGATCCCCAAACAACTGACCTGAGCAAGTCCGTGACCAAAAATGCGATGTCTTCCTACACAGCAATCTCTGTGTTTACCTGTTCTATTTCTTTATTTTCTGTAACTTCACCAGCTCCTTCTTTATATTCATACCTGTCCTTAACGCATGCGTGGGAGTTCTCTTCTTTTGGAACATCATCATCATTGTCACCTTCAATTTCTTTAACGTTAATTCCCGCACGAAATTCCTCTTCAATTTTTTTTCTATATTTTGTCTCCACCATATTCGCATTTTCTCTCCATTCTCCATATTTTTGTAAAACCGGTGTTGTAGTATTACCCTCGTATTATTTTTACCCGGTCTTACATTCGGAGCAACCTGTTCATCTCTGATTTGAAACATTTTAGTTCCCAATATTACAAGATCCCCAAACAACTGACCTGAGCAAGTCCGTGACCAAAAATGCGATGTCTTCCTACACAGCAATCTCTGTGTTTACCTGTTCTATTTCTTTTTATTTTCTGTAACTTCACCATCTTCTTTATATTCATACCTGTCCTAACGCATGCGTGGGAGTTCTCTTCTTTTGGCACATCATCATCATTGTTCCCTTTCAATTTCTTTAACGTTAATTCCTGACGAAATTCCTCTTCAATTTTTTTTCTATATTTTGTCTCCACCATAATTTTCTCTCCATTCTCCATATTTTGTAAAACCGGTGTTGTAGTATTACCCTCGTATTATTTTTTACCCGGTCTCACATTGAGCAACCAGTTCATCTCTGATTTGAAACATTTTAGTTCCCAATATTACAAGATCCCCAAACAACACCTGAGCAAGTCCGTGACCAAAAATGCGATGTCTTCTACACAGCAATCTCTGTGTTTACCTGTTCTATTTCTTTATTTTCTGTAACTTCACCAGCTCCTTCTTTATATTCATACCTGTCCTTAACGCATGCGTGGGAGTTTCTTCTTTTGGCACATCATCATCATTGTTCCTTTCAATTTCTTTAACGTTAATTCCCGCACGAAATTCTCTTCAATTTTTTTTTCTATATTTTGTCTCCACCATATTCGCATTTTCTCTCCATTCTCCATATTTTTGTAAAACCGGTGTTGTAGTATTACCCTCGTATTATTTTTCACCCGGTCTCACATTCGGAGCAACCTGTTCATCTCTGATTTGAAACATTAGTTCCCAATATTTCCCAAACAATTACAAGATCCAAAAAACACAGAGCCTGAGTTCAAGTCCGTGACCAAAAATAAATGACTTCCGATGTCTTCTACGAAATTCCTCTTCAATTTTTTTTTTTTTCTATATTTTGTCTCCAATACATTTTTCAATCTCTGTGTTTACCTGTTTCTGATTTCTTTTTTTTCAATATTACAAGATCCCCAAACCAGTCCTTCCAAATATTCGACCTCTTCCTACAACGCATGTGTTTACCTGTTCTCTTCTTTATTTTCTGCACATCATCATCATTGTTGTCCTTTCAATTTCTTTTCACAACATCATTTAATTCAATTTCTTTTTTTAACGTTAATTCCCCTCTTCAATTTTTTTTCTATATTTTGTCTCCACCATATTCGCATTTTCTCTCCATTCTCCAAATTTTGTAAAACCGGTGTTGTAGTATTACCCTCGTATTATTTTTACCCGGTCTCACATTCGGAGCAACCTGTTCATCTCTGATTTGAAACATTTTAGTTCCCAATATTACAAGATCCCCAAACAACTGACCTGAGCAAGTCCGTGACCAAAAATGCGATGTCTTCCTACACAGCAATCTCTGTGTTTACCTGTTCTATTTCTTTATTTTCTGTAACTTCACCAGCTCCTTCTTTATATTCATACCTGTCCTTAACGCATGCGTGGGAGTTCTCTTCTTTTGGCACATCATCATCATTGTTCCCTTTCAAGATTTCTTTAACGTTAATTCCCGCACGAAATTCCTCTTCAATTTTTTTTTTCTATATTTTGTCTCCACCATATTCGCATTTTCTCTCCATTCTCCATATTTTTGTAAAACCGGTGTTGTAGTATTACCCTCGTATTATTTTTACCCGGTCTCACAGAGCAACCTGTTCATCTCTGATTTGAAACATTTTAGTTCCCAATATTACAAGATCCCAAACAACTGACCTGAGCAAGTCCGTGACCAAAAATGCGATGTCTTCCTACACAGCAATCTCTGTGTTTACCTGTTCTATTTCTTTATTTTCTGTAACTTCACCAGCTCCTTCTTTATATTCATACCTGTCCTTAACGCATGCGTGGGAGTTCTCTTCTTTTTGGCACATCATCATCATTGTTCCCTTTCAATTTCTTTAACGTTAATTCCGCACGAAATTCCTCTTCAATTTTTTTTTTCTATATTTTGTCTCCACCATATTCGCATTTTCTCTCCATTCTCCATATTTTTGTAAAACCGGTGTTGTAGTATTACCCTCCTCGTATTATTTTTACCCGGTCCACATTCGGAGCAACCTGTTCATCTCTGATTTGAAACATTTTAGTTCCCAAATTACAAGATCCCCAAACAACTGAGAGCAAGTCCGTGACCAAAACGATGTCTTAAATACACAGCAATCTCTGTGTTTACCTGTTTCTATTTTCTCAAACACCAGCTCCTTCTTCATCTCCTTCATTTATATTCCATCATCTGTCCTTTATTTCTTTAACGTTAATTCCTCCTCTCTCTTCAATTTTTTTTTCCTGATACATCATCATCTTCAATTCTCCAGAGCCTTTAACCGGTTAATTCCCCAAACATTCCTCTTCAATTTTTTTCTATATTTTGTCTCAAAGCTCCTTCATATTCGCATTTTCTCTCCATTCTCCATTTTTTGTAAAACCGGTGTTCAATTTTTTTTTTCAAATATTTGTCTCCTCATATTATTTTTTCCATGGTATTTTCAAAAACATTAAGCAAACCTCAAATCTCTGATTTGAAACTGTTCATTTTGATTTCCCCATTACAAGATCCCCAAACAACTGACCACAAGTCCGTGACCAAAAAAACGATGTCTTCATACACAGCAATCTCTGTCCCATCTGTTCTATTTCTTTATTTTCTGTAATTCACCAGCTCCTTCTTTATATTCATACCTGTCCTTAAATGCAGGGAGTTCTCTTCCCCAAACATCATAATCATTGTTCTCTTTCAATTTCTTTTAACGTTAATTCCCGCACTTCCCATCTTCAATTTTTTTTTCTATATTTTGTCTCCACCATATTCGCATTTTCTCTCCATTCTCCATATTTTTGTAAAACCGGTGTTGTAGTATTACCTCGTATTATTTTTTACCCGGTCTCACATTCGAGCAACCTGTTCATCTCTGATTTGAAACATTTTAGTTCCCAATATTACAAGATCCCCAAACAACTTGACCTGAGCAAGTCCGTGACCAAAAATCGATGTCTTCCTTACACAGCAATCTCTGTGTTTACCTGTTCTATTTATTCGCTTTTTATTTTCTGTAACTTCACCAGCTCCTTCTTTATATTCATACCTGTCCTTAACGCATGCGTGGGAGTTCTTCTTTGGCACATCATCATCATTGTTCTTTCAATTTTCCTTTAACGTTAATTCCTGCACGAAATTCCTCTTCAATTTTACAGAGCTATATTTTGATCCCATATTCGCATTTTTCTCTCCATTCTCCAATTTTGTAAAACCGGTGTTGTAGTATTCAAACAGCTTATTTTTCCCGGTCTTCCCATCTGTCAACCTGTTCATCTCTGATTTATTCGCTTCCCCAATATTCAAGATCCCCAAACAATAATCTTCAAATACAGAGCCACAAGATCCCCAAACATCCTAAATGACACCGTCTCTTCTACTCAAACAGCTTCATCTCTCGCACTTCCCATCTGTCGAATTCTCCTCCTCTTATTCGCTTTCCTGATAACTATAATCTTCAAATACAGAGCCACAAGATCCCCAAACATCCTAAATGACACCGTCTCTTCTACTCAAACAGCTTCATCTCTCGCACTTCCCATCTGTCGAATTCTCCTCCTCTTATTCGCTTTCCTGATAACTATAATCTTCAAATACAGAGCCACAAGATCCCCAAACATCCTAAATGACACCGTCTCTTCTACTCAAACAGCTTCATCTCTCGCACTTCCCATCTGTCGAATTCTCCCCCTCTTATTCGCTTTCCTGATAACTATAATCTTCAAATACAGAGCCACAAGATCCCCAAACATCCTAAATGACACCGTCTCTTCTACTCAAACAGCTTCTTCTCTCGCACTTCCCATCTGTCGAATTATCCTCCTCTTATTCGCTTCCCTGATAACTATAATCTTCAAATATTTAAGTGTAATGTCAATCGACATCTTCTGATATCTTGCTTCCCCGTCCTTTTCACCAAACATCCCTCTTTTCTCTTGTTCTCTGCCCTCTGTAACCCCCTCTTGCGTTAAAAAAAAAACCTTCGATTATTTTATGCTTTTGTATGAAATATTGAAATGAATATAATTAAAAAAGAAAGAAAAGAAATCTCATCAGCTTGAGGTCAATAATTAATATTTGACTTTGAATGTATTGAGCTGAGCCATGAAAATCTAAAAATCCACTTCGCAATTTTTTAATACCATTGACATTACAAAATGTAACTCTATTTCTCTTCTAACAGTTTTTTCTCACGCACTTCTCGCCTGTGGAACTCTCTTCCGGCTTCTTGCTTTCCTGCCAATTAAGATATTTAAAAATTTAAATGCAAAATCAATCGCCATCATCTGTTAATACTTGAAATGGACACTAATTTAAATGTTGTACCTGATTGGCAGTTAGGTCTCATCATTTTACTGTTGAAATAGCTAGTTGTCACCGTAAGTTTTATTGTAATAATTTCTTCTTTTGCCCTTTCCGCTTCTAGAACTTTCTTCTGGCTTCCTGCTTCCTGTCAACTACATTTTTAAAAAAATGTAACGTCAATCGTCATCACCTGTTTTATTGAATCCTCGCAATTATTCTTTCTATTTCGTAATGATATCTCGGTTTCCTTCACTTTCGGGAATCTCTTGCTTCTTAGTGACTTTATCCCAGCGAATGAAATGATTACCGTTATTCCCTATGTATAATACACATTTTTTTTCTAAATTATAATAAGCAAAATTAGAGGTGCGTATTATGCACAGCTACAAAAAATCTTTAAAAAATTGCCGTTTCATAGGTCGATTTCAGTTGTGAAATGACCACTCACCACAAACATACGACAATTTGATACTAAAATTCTGCGATTGTGACCCCATAAGGATGCCAAATGCAGTCATATGGACCTAACAATACTTTCAAATGTAAAATAAAATAAGAATTATCATAAAACAAAATTAGAATAATATTATTCTTTTTTTAACCATTTTTAATAAGAGAAGGAAACTGGCCGTAATGAAATTAGAGATGTACAATTTATAGGGTTTGATTAACAAATAAGGGGTGCGTATTATGCGTGAGTAGAAGCATCTTCCCACACTTTCAGCAAAGTTTTAGAGGTGCGTATTATGGATGAAGGTGTATTATACATGGGGAATTACGGTAAAAATAAAAAGAATATCTTTTTACCTACGATACAAAAATGCTTCCCATCGTAATGTCTGCCAATATTTTCACTGCTAACATCGAGGTAATTTCTTTTTTCATATCCGATAAATATCGATTCGTATTCCTTACAGTCAAGAATCGGATTATTTCCTGACAAGTTGCCTACATCGGTGTGAGCGCGATCACAGACCCCCAACATTTAAGTTGTTTTACTTTAACAAAAAATCTCGCCATGATCATAATGATCCCATTTTTTGTATGTTTATTTACACGCGAGTTATCATGTTTGTTGTTTTTATCATAACGTTTCGACTGTTTCGCTCTCCGGTCTTCATCAGGTACTTGTCGATCGAACTGAACCATTTATTTAATCTACAAGAGTAGATTTTCTAGTTCTACTGCCCTTCTCTAGGTATTTATTATTTATTCATCATCCACTTTCTTCCTCCGTTGGGATTTTTGGGTACTCGAATTCGACTTTGCGGCCAAGGATGGCCCTAACAGGAGTTTAGAACTCCCTGCGGTATCACTCTCAAACTCATTGGACACGCAAGTCCCTCCACCATGATAAAGAACGACCAAGAGAGGTTGAACCAGCGGATGAAGTGGGCTACGCATGTCGGATATGCTACAGAAGGCGCCACTCGAAATTATACCATTTTTTTATTACAATTATTATTAGTAGTAGTAGTAGTTGTGCGAGAACCCAGACTAAACGTGACCAATGGTGGATGATCATTACAACAGATTTCAATGGCTTAGCCAGCAGATGAAGAGCGCTACGCATAGCGGACATGCTACAGAAGGCGCCACTCGAAATTATTAGAGTCAGAGGCAGTCCATTGCAGTTTCATAACTGAATTCTGCATGTCTCATTCCCTATGTGCTGCAGAGGAAGGTTGTGAAATCAAGTGGGTGGGTCAACTCCTTAAGTTCAACTTAAGAAATTCATGCCATCAGCACTTTATTATACTCTGATTTTCTCTCAGCTTCAACCAACTCTTGCAGAGTCAAACGACGAAAAGGAATGGGTGGCAGGCGTAGGTATTGGTGAAAATGAAAGCTTCTAGTCCTGAACCTTCACGTTGGTCGCGAATTTAGCCACCAGCGCCATTATCATAAAGGAAGCGATCAACAAAGAAGAAATTCAATTAGTGGATACGAGATAAAGCCGACGATGACGATTTATTGCCGTCTAGTTATTGCGTGTCCCGTGTCCGCACACACACACACACACACACACATACATACACACACTGCCTAGCCCAGGGATTGAACTTGCTATTAGTGTCTCACTAAATTCACAACAATGCTTTAATCAACCAGGCTATTGTCCCGTGGGAAGCCCGGAGAACAACGGCCGAAATTTTGGGATGACTACAAAACGGAGACAAAAACCTGTGAAGAAAATCATATCAACTTTGAAAAAGTGAAATATTTTTAATCCCAAGCAAGGTGATAAAGCCACTAAGACGCAAGTAGTTACTGAGGATAAAGGACATTTTTAATCCAACATTATTTCTGTAGATACGCGTGTTTAAGGTAATTTTTTAAAAACTAGATTTTTTTTTTAAATCCTCAAAGTATTTCGTATTGTTGAAGTTGTGGCAAACATTTTGTGTCGAGATTTACAAACTACGTTTCATTCAATTTCGAAAACCGATCGATAAAATTTGGGAATGCTGATTATTTTGGAAAATACTTTGACAAAAACGCTATGGTTGAATAATTTATTTAATCTAATTCTATAAGACTTCATGTAAACAAATTTTTTTTTTAATTTGGCTTCAATCGGTCAATGTATGGCGATTTTAGAGAGAGTGACGGACGGACAGATGAACTAACGGAAATCACAGAATTTTATATATAGATGTTTGTTTTAAAATTTGTTACAATTCCACACTTTATATTTTTAATTTGAAATTATTTTAATTTAAAACTATTTTAATTTTGAATTAAAAACAAAAAAAAATGACTCTTTCTCTTTCTTTTGACAGGGAAAAGGCAATGTGACGACATACTGGGTTGTCGGCGAGAACAAATCAAGACGTCAAGAAAGGATAGCCACGACAAAATCACTTTGTCCTAACAGCCTGACGAACACCCCCTGCGAGGAAGCAGGGAATATTTCAGTAAACACGGGTATGGCCATTAACACTGTTTCTAACACAAATCCATCTAGCAACGTGATTGACTCCAGCAACACGAATGCTATCAGCCACGATATCGAGGAAATGGAAATTGCTACGCAAAATAGCCCCAGTTTCTATTCTTACATGAGACCCCGTTGGAATGGGGAAGATCCGACAGTGGAGAGCTACTATTTGAAGAAAGAGAAAAATAGGCGTCAGGACATCTTTCACATGGCCCACAGAAATATTCTAATTGGATCAGGTTCTGGTTCGTACGATACAGATGAAAACATTCCGGAAAATTCACCGTTGCTTAAAACAAGTTTCATGGATATTGATACAGACGAAAATTTACAAGTCACACCAGTTTAAACCAGTTTCATGACTTAAAAAAAAAACAAACGAAAACAAAAAACGTAAAGCGAATCATCAACGTGCCTTTTTGTATTTTCCACCATAAATCGTTCTGAAGCTAATTCGAGCTTTTAATAAAAATCGTATCCTATTTTTTAAATTTATGCAATACACACCGTCCAGAAATGTGACAAAAACACCGCAAAAATTATTGATTCTTTTGTTGTAAACGTTTCATATTCTGGTTATTATAATATACGTGTAAGTGGACTGCACTTTTAATGTGTTTTATTCCATGGTTAATAGCCAAATTATTTCAATTTTGTAATTTAAATTCATTTCTCCGTGTCCAACAACCAGAAAAAAAAAACATTTGCAAATTTGATGTCTTTCTATCCTTCAAACGCTGAAGAGTTCTCTAAAAGATGCTCTGAAAATGCCGAAAGGTTCTCTGCTTCTCTCAGAAAAGAAAGCATTCTCTCTCTCTCGGAATAAGATTAGGTGCTGGACATTCTGCAGCACCTCCTTTGATATTGTTAAACCTCTCAGTTTGTAACGGTTATTCACGATTTGTTGAGGAATACTGTTGGTTATGGGTGAAGCAGAGAAACGAGCTGGCAAGAAGATGGAGATTTTTGATCGGGATAGGATGACGAAATGGAAGGGATGATATAGAAAATCCATCAAGAAGTGCCTGGGTTGGGCGAAAACAATAATCTGTGTGAAGCAAACATCAGAATCTTTTGTTGGCGACATCTTAGCCAGTCACTCCCATATTCTGGGGGTGCCAGCTATAGCATTTAGGTGCCGGTGGGCAGGCAGAGATGACCCTCAAAGAGAACCCGGAAAAGGAGAATAGGATCGGGACAAAAGAACAGTGCGTTAATCTTCTTTAATCTAGTATATCATTGTGCGTGGGCGTATGTGTCTGTGTGTGTGTGTGTGTCGTTTTGGTGTGTGTGTATGTATGTGTGTCTATATATTTGTATGTCGTTTTGGTGTGTGTGTGTGTGAGTGTATATGTGTGTATGTATGTGTTTATGTGTTTGTATGTGTGTGTCGTTTTGGTGTGAGCGTGAATGTGTGTGTATATGTGTGTATGTATATGTATGTTTGTGCGTGTATGTGTGTACGTGTGTGGTTTTGGTGGCTGTGAGTGTGCGTGTATATGTGTGTATGTGTGTTCCGTTTTGGTGTGTGTGTGTGTGTGTGTGAATGTGTGTGTATATGTGTGTATGTGTGCGTATGTGTGTGGTTTTGGGGGTGTGAGTGTGCGTGTATGTGTGTGTTGTTTTTGGTGGGCGTGAGTGTGCGTGTGTATGTGTGTATGTGTGTGTATGTGTGTGTAAGTGTCTGTGTATGTGTGTGTCGTTTTGGTGGATGTGAGTTTATGTGTGTGTGTGTATGTGTGTGCGTATGTGTGTATGCGTATATGTGTGTATGTCGTTTTGGTGTGTGTGAGTCTGTCTACGTGTGTGTATGTGTGTGTGTGTGCGTGCGTGCGTGTGCGTGCGTGCGTATGCGTGTGCATGTGCGTGAGTGCTCTAAGATGAGAAACACCCAGAAGAGTTGCTCGTAGGTTTGTGTCGGAATTATGATCCTGGGGAGGGGTAGCATGACTGGCTGACTGTTGTGCTGCATACGTTTTGTTAAAACAAATTCACAATACGCTCCAGTCACAGCGGACGTTGGGACACAGCGTCATCTCCAAGCTACTAATAAAAAGTTAATCAATCATCAAGACAGTCCCTGTTGGCATTCTACAAAAGCCATTGTTTCGTACCTCAGTGAAAACATCAGCCGTAATGAAGTGGCCTGTCTTCAGGCCTTTAAGCCATAGAATAGATGACAGCAAGCGATATTTACACTGACAGTATCCAATGTTCTACGCTTGACGAGCTGAAATTGGCTATTAGGGATGCAGGAGAGAAAATCCTTTCATCTACGTACTCTTAATTAGAAATCTCGATTGGCGAGGACTAAAAGATATTAACTTTTTTATATATATATATATATATATATATATATATATATATATATATATATATATATATATATATATATATATATTAATAAAAAAAATGATTCACTTTCGTGCTGTTTTTTATAACTATCGGACATTTTTTCATGTTTTTTTAATATTTTTTAACATAAACTTTTCCTAAAATGAAGAATAAAATTAATATATTTTAGTTATGTAGAAATACTTTAAAATAGTTTAGAAACAATTTATAAAATTGTGAATTCGATTTTAATCAAATTCTGTTGAAAATTTTTCAAACTTGCGGTGATTATTATTTTATTTATTTATTTATTTTTTTTTTTTTAAATAATTTCTGGACGGAGTGTACGATGCAAAATGGCGGGAAATGATGAATTCGGCTAATTTCGTTCCCGGCATCATTTTCTTTAATTTTATAAATTTCGACTAATATGGCCACCCAACGATTTCAGATTATACACTTTATCATCATATCTGATCAAAAGGAAAGACTTTTTTTAAATTTTCAGTTGAAACAAAAATAAGTGGGGGGGGGGTGCAAAGTATTGTCTGAATTTCTAATAATTGATCAGATTCACAAATTATTTAGTTGATTTTGTCAACTACGGCTGTTACTTAGTTACTTTTCCTACTTCCTCTCTTTCTTTTCCTCCTCCCCCCTTTCTCTCTCTCTCTCT